ACTGCCTCGCAAGGGCAGACGATTCGCGCTGCAGTGACCATTGACTGCGCGCGCCAGGCGCGTCAGGGGCGACGAGGCACCAACGAGGACAATTAGTGGTTGAACCTCTACGTGATGTTCTCCCGCGCCACTCGGATGGCGGACATGTTGCCGGTGCGCCCGCCGCCTCGCTGGCTTTTGGGAGGAAATCCGTCAGTGTTTTTGAAACGCGCTCTTCGACGCTCCGCGGCGTCTGAGGACTCGACGGTGGCGAGAGCCGCCCTACGTGCCGGGGAGCACGGCATAACGCTGCCAGAGGAAGAATGACGGCCCGTTAGTTTCTGGCCCGATGCCCAGTGCGGACGGCATGTTTGTTGCCTAGATCCCTCCGCCGCTTGCCTGGCACTGCAAAGCCCGACGCCCAGTGCAGACGGTTGTTTGCTGGCTTTTCCTCGGTCTCCGTGCTCAGCTATTCCCCTGCCTTCGCGCTGAGCCAAACCTGGTCCGATTTTAATTGCGGACGGCCAATGCGCGAACGTATTCACTTTGCCCCATTATCCTGTGTTTCTCTTAGGCGCTCGTCCAAACATGGCCCGATGCCAAGTGCGGACGGCGCTGCGCGTGAACTCCTCATTGGGTTCTTCTATGAGGTAGCCCGATCTTGGTGCGGACGGCACAGGCGAAAGACCTCTGCCACGGTGCTTGCGACGCAATGCCATTGAATTTCGTGTTTTGGCAAACAAGATGCGCTGATATATGTTTGCGGATGGATATATATATATATATATATATATATATATATATATATGCATGTATATATATGTGTGTGTTTATACACATGTGTATATACATATATATATATAGACATGTATATACATGTGTTAAATGTGCAGTCGAACTGCGCGCGTGTGTTCGCCGCTCACGTAGACGCGCCCTTTTTAACAAAACTGTCATAGACATATGTTCACCATAGCACTACCCGGCAATATGATATGCACATATGGCTCATCAGGCTAGACGCTCATTTCCATATCCCCAGTGCTATCTTACCTTTTTAGAAAAGAGTGAACATCTGGGGATCTCCACGCAGTGAGTAACGTTTTGACTATATTTGAAACATTCCTCCTGTAGATGGACATGCCCGATTTGCTCTGATCGTTGTTGCTCACGGCTTCCCCCGGGGCCGTAGGCGACCCGAAGAGGAGGAGGACGAAGGGGAGGATAAGATGGAGGAGGAGGAGAAGGGAGGAGGGGGGAGGGAGGAGGAGGAGGAGAAGGGAGGAGGAGGAAGAGAAGGAGGAGGAGGAGGAGGAGGGAGGAGGAGGGAGGAGGATGGTGATGAGGAGGAGGAAAAGGAGGAGGAAGAGAAGGAAGGAGGAGGAGGAGGGAGGTTCAGAGATTCAGATCTATCGCGTAGCGATACAAACCACCTATCTCCCCCTGAGCTCCCCGTGGAAGAAGGCGAGCAAGTAGACAGACGACGCGACCCAGAAGCGGAAGCCAGTGAACGGGAAGTACGTGGAACGTCACCAAAACCGATACCACGAGCGAGTCCCTCACGCCAGCGCCAGGAAAACCAGGATAACTGAAATTTCACTCCATCCCAAGACCACGCTTAGGTCGCACACTCGAACGGTTCCATTGAAAAAAATGGCGGCTCAGCCGAAACAGAGTCTGCTCGATACGGCCCACTACAATGGAAAGCACCGAGGAACAAGTACATCCCACTGGTCATCGGGCATCCTCGAACCCCCAACGCGCAGAATTGCGACGCAAGGCACCAAACTGAGATCGCATCCACCGCAGACGGCCTCGCAACCAGACCACTCGCAGGAACAGTTATAAGTAAATTTGAAGGCTGCAATACAATCCAGTTGTGCATACAGAAGC